ATCAAAAACTAATGATGTACTATTCAGTGGCTAACTGAACATAAAATAAAAAATAAAAAAGTACAGTATGTATATGGATATATGCATATATATCCAATGGCATATTACTCAGCTATAAAAAATGAGATACTGACATTTGCTACAGTATGAATGGACCTTTAGAGTATTATGCTAAGTGAAATACATCAAAGATACTATATGATTTATATGTGGCATCTAAGAAAGAAAGAAAGAAACAAACAAACAAACAAAAACAGACTCTTGAATACAGAGAACTGGTGGATGCCAGAAGGAAGGTAAGTGGGAGATGGGAAAATGGTGAAGATTAAGAGGTACAATTTTCCAATTATAAAATAAGTCATGGAGATGTAAAGTACAGCATAGGGAATATAGTAAAAAATATTGTAATAATATTGTATGGTGGCACAGTAAGCATTGAATACCAGAATTGTTCAATCACTATGCTGTACATCTGAAATATAACATTATAATTATACTTTAAAAATCACATATCTCATCTGATTATTTACTTGTATGAGAGCCAATTCCTATTGGGACCCACTGTGACCAAATTTCATTGCTTCCAGACACACTTCTAACCTTTCAGACCCAGTCCCTATATGGACTAATCTTTCAGGATGAAGGTTCTCAGACTCAGTAAAATAATTGCAAAATTAATCAATTTATACTTCTGGCTACCTTAGGAATTTGTGAGGAAGCTGATCATGATAGACAAAGAACAAAAGAAAATATTGGTAGAGTATATCTAGTATTTTAGGAGTACATAAAATAGAATTTCTGAATTCAATGTATGATACTGGAAGAGTGAAGTGCCTGGGGCATCTGGTGGCTCAGTCAGTTGAGCATCTGACTCTTGATTTCCCCTCAGGTAATGATCTCAGGGTTGTGAGCCCACACGGGGCTGTGCACTCACCAGAGTCTGCTTGTCCCTCTCCCTCTGCTCTTCCACCCACTTGCTCTCTCTCTCTCTCAAATAAATAAAATCTTAAAAAAAAAAGTGTGAAGTGACTAATAGCTTGCTTGGTTGATTGAAAACTACTCAGTGTATATTAATTTACAATATCAGTTCTTACTTTGTATAGTATATACAAAGAAATGCAAAGTTTGGGATATTAAAGAGCCTGTATTCTATGTGATTTACTTCAACATCGTCCATAAGACCTAGTTTATAACCAGGTATGGCATGGTTCATTGGTTACCAAAATATCAGTACCCATGAAATGTTCTGCAGAGACTGTTCTCTGAAGACAAGTTATGATGACATCACAATTGGTGACCTGATATCAATGATGGCGATAGAAAATAGGAAGGGGGCACCTGGGTGGCTCAGTCGGTTAAGCCGCTGCCTTCGGCTCAGGTCATGATCCCAGGGTCCTGGGATTGAGCCCCACATTGGGCTCCCTGCTCAGCGGAGAGCCTGCTTCTCCCTCTCCCTCTGCCTGCCTTTTTACCTACTTGTTCTCTCTCTCTCTGTGTCAAATAAATAAAATCTTTCAAAGAAAATAGGAAGGAGAGAGTTAATAGAAGTTCTGTCTCAGATTCTGTCCTGTGGAAGCCCAATAGCAAAGATTAACCTAAGCCTCCTATAGACTCAATGTCCAAATCTTCTGTTGTATATGCCAAAGATATGTATAACTGAAAAGATAAGAATCCCACTGGGAAAATTTTTTGTTGACATACAAGGTCTGTGTAAATTGAGTATGTTAAAAATGGTGATAAATAGATGTATGCAGTAACTGATGGAGAATACATAATTGTTTATATAAAAAATATCCAAGTCCAAGGTAAAAAAAAAAAAATAGCACCTTTAGCATAATATGAAAACAACTCATGTGATACTCCCTTATATTGTATTTTTCCAAATAAAGTTAATACTAAGATATAAAAGAATCATGTATTAGCTAAAGAATACCTATTAGATTTCCAAAACCTTGAAACTCCCTGTTATGACCTGCGTGTCCTGACAGGGGCGGACCTGTTCCCCTCTCTTTTCTATGTTCTAGCCAGGGGATCATTTTGTTTTTCATGTGCAATATGCTTATTAGATTTCTTCTAAACCTGGATATCTCTCTTCCTAGAATTCTTTATTCTCATATCTACATGTATTTGGCTGCTTCTTGGTTTCAGTTCTAATGTCATTTCTTTGTTTAGACCAACCTTGAGTAGACCAATTAAAAATTTCCATCATAACTCTAGCATTTTTCCATGTTTTTATGTTCTCATAGCATTTATCACTATCTGAAATGTCAATTTATCTGTTTACATGTCTAATATGTCCTCCTCTCTCAATTTAGGTATCACAAGAACAGATATTCACTGCTGTAACATCAGCTTCAAGAACATAATTGTGTAAGACACATGGAAGGTGCTTAATCAAAGGCATTGATATGTGTAAATCATGAGTTACAGGCTTTTTTTTTTTTTTTTTACATGTTTGGGATGGAGTTAACAGTTTCTTTAGGTAAAATAAGTCTGTGCATTTTTTTTTTTAAATCTCAAGAATTCATTTCTTTTCATAGAAACTCCCTGTCAACACATAACCTTTGGAAACTTCAAAAATACTTTTACTGGAAAAGTCAAGGAAGATTAGATGAATTGGGCCAAGTAGGCAGAACCTCCAAAATGGTAACTGTCTGTTCACATGAAAGGTAAAGGCTTATGATCTATAAGTCTTGATGAAGACTGAGAACAGATAATGCTCTTGTCATAAGGTTGAGGTAAAATATATGGAGGCTTATTGAAAGCTTTAGATCTGATAATTGACTCCGTCTAAATAAAGGGATAGTTTATGGACTGAGGACTTAAACCACAGCCTCCTGACAGGGTGGGGAGTGGGGGGTGGAGGTGGGGGCACAGGCAAAGTCAAGTTCCAATGCACTGAGGTTCCAGAAAAGCAGATTGAAATTTGAGGACTGGGCCTAATTTTCATATAGGAAATGGAAAGCTAACCAAAAACTCAAGATTAAGGAAACTGGATGGCCTGGATGAGGATGGCTGGAGATAGAAAGACTGGAGCTCCTCCTTGGGTGCTCAGGTGCCTGGACCCTGCAGACTATGAGATCACCCAGGATGGTAAAACAAAGTCGATTTTACTTTAGGGCATAAAATTTTCTTCTGATTATAGGGGAAACTGATAGGAATAATACTAACATAAAATAACATAAGCAAAAATGTACACAATCTTATTTTTTAGTTAAATCAACAATGAAATAAGTGAAATAAAAGCAGTAACGAAGACAGTACATCATTCCAAACTAATGGGACTTTTAATAACATGAATATGTATTAAAAAGTTACTATATAATATCTATCAGCATTTAAAAATATAAATTATGTTATATAAAGACTAAGTAGAATCCTACGTACAACATATTTGAAAGGTTATTAAAAGCTGACAAAAAAATTAAACCACTTCACTTGGGATAAATACTATGCATTGCCATCATTTAAAATCGTCTAAGTTTCTGGAAAATTTATGCAAACACACACAAAATAACCAGTAAAAGAAATAATTTTTGCCGATCTGTTTTTATACCTGACCAATCCAACAGTATTTCACAAACTGAATAATTTTTAAAATGTGATAAGGTGGCTGGATACAGAAATATTCTACAAAAAATAGGTTTGTCTACTTGAACAAATAAGACCTATTCTCATTTTCATTTCTAAGTACAAGTATTTAGAAATGTCAGTAGAATATATCAGGACCTATATGAAGAATATGAAGTGATAATGAAATGTAAAATAAGGTCTGAACAATTAGCACGATATACCATGTTTATGTATTCTCTGTGCATTTCTTTCAAGTGATATAAATCCATTGATTCTAATTAAAATTTTGTCTCTCAGTCTTAGAAAAAAAATCTTAAAATATGGAGTACGCTTGTGATGACCACTGGGTGTTGGGTAGAAGTATTGAATCACTATACTGCACACCTGAAACTAGTATTACAATGTGCGTTAACTAACTGGAATTGAAAACTTCTTTAAAAATCTGATTATAAAGTGAACTAAAACTAAGATTAGGTTAGGAATCTTGCCTTACCAGCTAGCAGAATATATGATAAAATCTGTGTGATCACATGCCCTAAGGACGACAAAAAAATAGATCACAGGATACATATCGGAAATCAAGCAGATAGAAGAGAATTCAACTATTATAAAGATGTTGGTTTAATACAGAGACCATGAATAAGTTATTTGAAAGAAGGTATTGGCACCGATACATAACTAGAAAATAAATGGGTCCTTAAGTTACCTCATACACAAAATTAAATCAAGTTTTTTGGTACATGTATCTGTTTTGTTATAAACTCTGCTCCCTGATCCACTACAAGGGAAGTTCCTTTTTCTGCAAACCAGACAACCCGTATTTGCTCTTCCATTTTTATTCAGTTGCTCCTCAATCTCCTCCTAGACGCAATCCTATCTAGTTTATCAAAAGAGAAATTATTCCTACAAGCAAATCTCCTGGTCTGGCACTTAGATCAGAATATTCTTGAAATATGTATATACATTAGTATAAAAGAAAAACAGTGACCCTTGAGAAACAAGTTAGAAAACACACTGAAAATATTAAATACTTGAAGTAAACCCTCCCTCACATTATTTTGGTTGATGCAGATTAATCACTTTGATTGCTACATCAGGACCACACATATTTCTTACCAAATATTTCTCATTTAACTATATGTGTGAATGATATACTTTTAATTTCCAGAAAATCAACTGCATTTATCTTTATGGTAGTATCCAAATTGAGATGAACCCATGCACCATACTTTCTGGGTTTTTATGGTTACTACATACATGAAAATGCTTTCTCCTGCTAGCTGTATTTGAGGTGTACTTATTATTCATGTTGTCACTTAAAGATAGCATATGACACACATGGTTCAAAACTCTCTCTAGTGATGTAGTTTAGTTATCTGAGCTCCTTTTTTCTCAGATCTTATTTGGCAGCATGGGGAAGACTGCCGTTTTGAGAAAAAATTAATAAATTCACAATATTGTCTCTTCCTATTATTTCATCAGTACGTTTTTAGGAAAAGTGTTCAATTAGCAATAATCATGCCTCGGATAAACCTCATTGGCTACGATACTACTACTGTGCAAAGCTTCATCAGTACATTTTTAATCAAAACTCATCTTTACAGTAAAACAGTGTCATGCCATCTCAATAAACCCCAAACTGCTTTATAAAAAATAACCTAATTCTGTTCTGTGTACAAAGCCTTGACTTATTTTACGTGTGTTTTTAATATTTGGATTATATGGATGTATGTGTGTTTTTAATATTTTGATTATAATCTAAATAAGTAAGATCTTAGATACATGTTAGAATCATGATTTTTCCTTCCGATTATCATTTTGTGTATATATTGATATATATTACATTAACATTGATACTTTTTAAAAGAATTTTCCTTGTGATTAATAGCTTTATTTTTTTATATTCATTGGGAAAAAAGATGGTCTCTTCAACACATGGTGTTGAGAAAACTGGACAGCAACATGGAAAAGAAACTGAACCACTTTCTTATACCACAGACAAAAATAAATTCAAAATGGATTAAAGACTTAAATGTGAGACTTAAAACCATAAACATTCTAGAAGACAATACAGGCAGTAACCTCTTTGATATTGCCTGTAGCAATCTCTAGATAGGTCTCCTGAGACAAGGAAAAAAAAAAGCAAAAATGAACTATGGGACTTCATCAGGATAAACTGCACAGTGAAGGAAACAATCAACAAAACTAAATGGCAACCTTCAGGATGGAAGAAGATACTTGCAAATGATCTATCTGATAAAGGGCTAGTATCTAAAATATATAAAGAACTTATTCAACTCAACATACACATAAAAAACAAGCAACTTAAAAATGCTCAGAGGACCTGAATAGACGTTTTTCCAAAGACGACATCCAGATGGCCAACAGACACATGAAAAGATGCTCAACATCACTGATCATCAGGGAAATGCAAATGAAAACTACAATGAGATATTAACTCACACCAGTCAGAATGGCTAAAATCAACAACACAGGGAAAAATGTTGTTAGTGAGGATTTAGAAAAAGGGGGACCCTCTTACACTGTTGGTGGGAATGCAAACTGTTGCAACTATCCTATGATCTAGCAATTGCACTACTACAAAGGATACAAAAATACTAATTCAAATGGACACATGCGCCCCAATGTTTACAACATTATCAACAATAGCCAAATTATGGGAAAAGATTAGAGGTCCATCCACTGATGAATGGATAAAGAGGTGGTATCAATACACACAATGGAATATTACTGAGCCATCAAAGAGAATGAAATCTTGCCATTTGCAATGATGAGGATGGAGCTAGAGTGTATTATGCCAAGCAAAATAAGTTTAGAGAAAGACAAATACCACTGGATTTCACTTGTATGTGGAATAGAAGAAACAAAACAGATGAACATAGGAGGAAATAAAAAAGAGGCAAACCAGGAAAAAGACTTAATTATAGAGAACAAATGGAGGGTTACTGGAGGGGAATTGGCAGGGGGATGGGTTAAATGGGGGATGGGGATTAAGGAGGGCACTTGTTGTGATGAGCACTGAGTGATGTATGTAATTGATGTATCACTAAATTCTACACCTGAAGCTAATATTAAACTATATGTTAACTGAAATTCAAATAAAAACAAAACAAAAAGAAAATATGTATTATTTTATGTATTCTTTGTATTTCCAACATTTTGGTAAGGAAATTCTACATTGGCATTTAGACATTTGAAAATGCATCGTTAGGCACCTGGGTGGCTCAGTTGGTTAAGCGACTGCCTTCAGCTCAGGTCGTGATCCAGTCCCTGAATCGAGTCCCGCATCAGGCTCCCGGCTCAGCAGGGAGTCTGCTTCTCCCTCTGACCCTCCCCCCGTCATGTGCTCTCTTTCTCTCAAATAAATAAATAAAACCTTTGGAAAAAAAAATGCATCGTTACTCTTCTGACTTGCAAAACAGAAAACGATCACTATCCACACTTTGTTATAAAGTAATCATGTAGACAATTCACCATTTGTTACTGTAAGTGCTAAAGATTATAAGAATCCTCCATGTGGACAAAACTTAAATACAACATGTTTAATTTCCATATCGTTAATGCTTTATACATTACAACTGTAGAACACAATTCAAAGGTATTAAAACAAAAAATATTTTTTCCTTATTTGAATATATCAGATTTGAGCATCTTTTAGTGGAGGGGAGAGAGAAGTTTCAGCCTGTCATAGTACCTGCTATTTACATATTTGATATATATAGATTTTATAAGTTTTGTAGAAAATGCTTACATTATAAGTTTAAAAGGCTAAATCACTGAGTAATTAGCATACACAGTTCATTATGGGCAGTCTTGGCTTTCCTGTGAGACTTAAAATGCAAATTAAATTTTACCTGAGGTGATAAATATAATGATATGAAAAATATGTACAACTTTAATATAGTATTTCAAAATTGTTTAAGTCATTGTTTGGCTTAAAAATAGGTACATACTACATAATAAGTATAAAATTTCTCAATCTAAAAATTAAGAAACCTACATCTTTATAATAAAATAATCTCACCCAGGATGAGGAAAATAATTTTATAAAGAGTGTTTGCATTATGTAAATGAAATAATTTTAACGAAAAAGAAAAAATCTAAATAAACTTTCAATCTTATAAATAGTCCTATTATTCAGTATTTCAGCGGAAAAGGACAAAGGGAATTTTTCTTTCTTTTAAAATACATGTATAAATGGAGAACTTCATCATAGGAATGAAATATTCAAAAACACCCCTTGAGTTTAGATAACATCCTTTCCCTTGCTCATCTCCAGTATTTCATGATTGTTTTGTTTTTTTTTCCTAGTCTCATTTGTCTTTCTGAATCCCTGTTGAGAAGTTAAAATATTTTCTGAATATATAAGGGTCCGTTCAGGACAGACTGATGATATAGCTAAGACAATCTCATGTATGCTGAAGAAAAATATATATATTGATAACTGAAAATTAATACTCCCACATAAGAGACTAAAACACTTAAGTCTTCAGAAATTAATTTGGTTTCTGACAAAGTTATTTTTTTTTCAGGTTTTTGTAGTATCTTTCTCAACTGAATTTCTCTTTCACGTTACTCATTCACTGCCTGCAGACATTTCTAAGAGTGTTACTTCCCAGTGGAATATCATCTCTTCTTCTTAGGACTATGTCTAACAGTTCAGCAACCACAGAAAGATTGTGTAAGTTTTAAGGAAGATTATTTTTCTGTACCAGTTAATGACACTGGAGTTGAAGAAGAGCTGAAGGTATTTAGGGAAATCATTCCCGTTATGTTCCCAAGAGATGGAAAAATGCTTTCTAGGAGAAAACAAAGAACCAAACCAAAATTCCTTAAAAATGTCTGATAACAAAATTTTTTAAACTTATTTCTTCCATCTGTCCAAAATGTAAAAGCAGTTTTTATTTTTCTTCACAATAATGAAATTTCAAAAGTGATAATCACTTCATCATGTACACATGGGGTGATATATGTATATAAGATTACATAGTACAGAATAAATGCTACCCTTGGTGACACACACACACACACACACACACACCCCTTCCAGAGACTGAGATCTGTGAGGGCACTGGCCATGACAAGTTTTCTTGCATGCAGGAATAGTAAATGTACACATTTATGTGCTTAGTGAGTAATTATTCTATTAGTACTAAATATTAAAGGTACCTACCAACTTCAGCTTAAATTTTTAACTACCATACCTTATGCTTAGCAAAGGGGCTCTTGTTCATTTCCCAAACTCCTGAATAAATGCATTTTGACATTTGTCCTATGGAACTACAGTTTAAATGCTCTGGAAAACTTCAGTAAAGGTTTCATTTAATTAAAACAAAACAAAAATGAAGGAGAGCGATATCCTTGAAAAATCACTCCCTTCCATTTTTCCCTGTGGGTATTTACAAATTTTAATTTCTGATAGATACCATAGTATATAACTAGTGATCAAAATAAATGAACTATATCCAGGAGAAGGCAAAATTGAAGTTCTGAATGACAGAAGCTCATTAAAGTTAATAGATATTTGAAAGTATAATCAGCAATGATTTGCTCAGAAATATCTAAGTTAAAAAGATTAAAGAAACAAGGCACTTGTTTTACAATATAGATTTTTATTAAGCACCATATGACTGAGACTGGTTATTAAAGAAAAAAAATACCATTGGTGGCAGAAATAAAGAACTGTAAGAGGAAAAGAACTGCAATTTTTAAAAGTCCCTCTTGAGCCACAACAGGGAAGAAGAAAGTCTTCATGGTGACATTGTCTGGAAAGAGGGTTTTCAGCCTCTCGTGACCTTTCTCATTGCCCCAGTGTACAATTTAGCTCTTGACAGCCTGATTACCAAAGTTATCAGACTTCCCATGCATATAAAGGGGAAAATCCTCATAATGCCTCCCTCCAAAATAGAAACATTCAGTCTCAGATTTTCAAGTATCATCAAGTAACATCAGTTTGAGAAACAGCTTCTTACAAACAATGGCAATTTTTGTCCAAGGGAGAATTTGATCAGTTATTTCTTGAGAGGGATAGCACATTCTGGTAGGCCTACTTTGATTCAATGAAAATTTAAGTTGGTTTGAAATACTATTAGTAAGCATTTAAAAAAAATCTCTATTAAGACTTTTTGACTAGCTTTACATTCATAGCAAAAATGAGAGGAAAGTACAGAGATTTCCCATATAATCCCTACTCTCATGCATGCATGGCCTCCCCCATGATCAACATCCCCTACCACAGGGGCACATTGTGTATTTCTTTTCTGAGGTATCTGCTAAGGTCTTTGGCTTATTTTTCAGTTAGGGTGCTTTTATATTGTTGAGTCTTAAGAGTTGTTTGTATATTTTAAATAATAGTCCCACTGACTTTCTGCTTGCCAGGTGAGTCCATTTGGATAAAAGTTGTCAGTTGTCAAAGCCTCCAACTAGAATAATGGGTTTATCTATTTTTCCTACAGTTCTATCAGATTTTCCCTCACCACAGTCTTGACACTTTGTTAGACACAGATTTTAAGGACTGATAGGTCTTCATGGACAACTGAGCCATTT